CTGCCGCCGCCACGACCACCTCCACCTCCGCTGCCGCCTCCACCCCTGCCACCGCTCCCGCCGCTGCTGTCTCCTCCCCCACTGCCGCCACTAGCCTCCCCAGTCGCGCCTCCACGCCCACTGCCTCCACCCCCACCTCCTCCGCCACCACCCCCACCCCTGCCTCCCTTGCTCCTGCGGCGCCCGCTCGAAGCAGACGCGGTCCCGACCTTCTCAGCACCAAGGAGGTCGACAGCAGCAGCAGAGGCGACAGAGGGGAGGAGGGGGGAAGGGGAACACCCCTCGAAGAACGGGGTGCGGGGGTCGCCACGAGAGGTGCCTACAGCGACGATGCTCGCCTCAGCTGCAAGCAGTTCCTTCTCGAGGAGGGCAACAGTGAGCTCAGTGGGGGAGCGAGAGAGGAAGTGGTCCCTGACTGCACGCAGAGAGTCAGGGAGGCGGGTGACGATGTGGTAGAGAGTGATCCAGAGCGGGGGGGGGTTGCTAGTGAGAAACTCGGCAGGCATAGCAGCGCGAAAGCGGGCCTCACTAGTCTTAAGGTGGGTGATGAGGTCTGCGACAGTGTGAAAGGAGGCTAGGTCGGGGAACAGGTAGGGGAGAGTGAGGCGGCCTAGCGTAGCAGAAGCGGGTGAGGAGTAGCGGGCAACTACAGCGGTGTAGAGGTCCTTAGCAGTCTTGCACTGGCCGAAGTGCTCGCGCTCGTCTAGCGGCAGGGAGTTGCGAATAGCAAAGCGAGCGTGCGCATCACGAGTCTGCCACTGAGAGCGTAGAGTGCTGTCAGCAGACGTGTCAGGGGCAGTAGCATGGCCTAGGGCGTGGTCGTACAGCGAGATGTCTTCCTTGGCAGTGAGCTGTAGGAACAGGTGCAGGTCATCTAGCCAGGTTTCGAACTTCACCGGACGGCCCTCGGCATCGAAAGCTAGAACGGGAGGACTAGCCATAGTGACAGTAGTAGGAGGAGGAACTAGGCCGCTGGAAAGGTGTGCGTAGGGTCAACGGGACCGGCGGGGCCGCTAGGTAAGGCGCGGGCGGGGTCGACTGTCCGTAGTGGCACACGAGCGGCAGGAGTAGGGAGCGTGGCAGCAGGAGCTGCAACGGCGCACTGGTGGCAGCTGCAGTGGCAGCAGTGTGCGCGGTAGGTAGCGTAGGGGCAGCGGCGGCGCACGGGCAGCGGCGGCGCACGGGCGGCAGCAGTGCACGTGCGGCGACGGCAGGAGGCGGCGGTGCGCAAGCAGCAGCGGAAGCAGCGCACGGGCGGCAGCTGCGTATGCGCACGTGCGGCAGTGGCAGCGGCGCACGGGCGGCTGCGGGCAGCGGGGCGTGCGCGAGCAGGCGACGGGCGGCTGCGGGGCGTGCGCGAGCAGGCGACGGGCGGCTGCGGGGCGTGCGCGAGCAGGCGACGGGCGGCTGCGGACGGGCGGCCTCTGCGACGGCGGGCTGCGGGCCTGCGGGGCGTGCGCGAGCAGGCGACGGGCGGCTGCGGGGCGTGCGCGAGCAGGCGACGGGCGGCTGCGGGGCGCGCGCGAGCAGGCGACGGGCGGCTGCGGACGGGCGGCCTCTGCGACGGCGGGCTGCGGGCCTGCGGGGCGTGCGCGAGCAGGCGACGGGCGGCTGCAGCAGCGGGTGCGTCAGCGTGGCGCACAGGGCAGCGGCGGGCAGTGCGCGAGGCTACGAGGCGCACGGGCAGCAGCGCAAAGGCGCGTAGGCAGCGGGGAGGCAGCGTGACGGGCCGCGCGCGAAGAAAATAAAGCGCGCGCGGGCAGCTGGCGGCTAGTACGGCGCGCGCGGTAAAAAAAAGGAAAGCCACGCGCGGGCGGCTAGCGAGCTGCGTGCGCGTGGTAGGTAGGTAAGGAGCGCTCTAGGACGCGCAGGCGCACGAGGCGCACAGTAGGTAGGTAGGTAGGTAGGTGGGCCCTAAGAACAGTCCTAGCGACGGACCTGCTCTGAAACCATGTCAGAAATAACGGACTGGAATGGTGAACTAGAAAGGATTGTGAGTACAAATATGAAACCCTAATGTTGTGACCCCCCTATAGGCTAACCCACTACAGCCTACACAAACACAACACATATAATGTTTGACAGCTGTTACACTGATTGTACCAGGGTAGACTTGTTGTTAAGCTTTTTATATTGCAATACCGTAACTCCAATGCATTACTTACTCATGTAACAATTCATACATGTTTAAAAGCAATGCAGTCACAACTACTACGTGCTTGGTGCACAGGCAACTACTTCATCTGCAAACTGGGCCTGGCTAGCCTTACTCCTGGCGAAGTCCTAGGTAGATCGCCTGATCTTCAAAAAAAGATGTCCACACCAGTCAATCTCATATTGCACGAGGGAGCATCACATCAGGTGCTCTAGGCTTGTGTCGCCAATGCTGTCGCGTCCCCACGTCTTTATCAGATTCTGCTTGCGAAATCCCCGCTCGCATTCAACCGTTCTCAATAGAAGCATGGCAACAGACTGCCACATACGCATGATGTTAGGGAATGAAGCACGTCACGCATCGTCTTGCAGCATGTTCTCCAGCGCCTGATGAAATTCCTTGTGCTGGGAGAACATCGTGGATGTGAACATCCACAGCTCCTGGCCGGCACATTTGTAGTCGAACCCAGATAAGGGGAATGAGCTAGGCCTATGCTCGCAAATACGGGTTGGAGTGGGGGGCACTAGTCCAACAACAACCAATGTGGAGCACAAGCACGTGCAAAGAATGGGGCAGATGTAAATTAAGTTATAGATAAACATATAAACCATCAGTCAATCACGTTGTTTACGTGGCAATTTGTTGCTGTACAACTTATGCAGCTGGCCAAGCCACTTCTTGAAAGGTTCAGGCCGCTTTGTATCATCAAGAATGTACGAAGGTGTGCGAAACGGCTCTGCGCCTTCCAGCAGGTTGAGGTCACGCATGTGCCACTCCAGCTCCACATCCACGGCGCGGATGAACTTCAACGACAGCTCGAAGCACGCGGTCACATCGTCATCCGTCTCCTGGTCAGGCAGTGGTCACTCGTGCAGGGTGAAGACAAAGGAGACGGAGTTGCCGTCCCCATCAATGCCTTTCGCCCGCCTCTCTCTGTGTTCCATCTTCTGGTGTGCCTGGATTAACTCCGGCAACTGCATCTTCTCACCGATTCCTAACGAGTGACCGGGTGACCTGTCGAAAGTAGCGTGTTTTCAGGAGCATCCTCGTTTGTTGTACGATGTGCACCACGAGGGTGACGTTGGCATGGACAGTGGCAAAAGCTGTAGTCAGAATGTGTGTTGAATGCAAACACTCTTATCTGGCGTTGCTGAAAGCACTGGTTGAGTTGGTTTGGTTCCCACAGCACATCCGCAAGGAAGCGGATGAGCTAGTGGAACTTGAACGAGGTTATTTCCTTTGTACAAGTCCTTCTTGGTCTACTTTAGCACCACGATGGCTGCAGGGAGTACGTCAAGCAGCCGTTGGACCGCCTCACCATGGGAGAGCCAGTGCACGGTGTGGATCCCTTGCGCCTCCAAATTTGTCTGGTAGAAGACTTGCTGTAGGTTTTGGAACTTCTGATAATGCACGCTGCTGCGGCCGATGTGCTCTGCGAATGCCCGCACCGCGCCGTCCACCATGCGAGGCTCTTGGACTGCATCTGCAACATCACGGGCAGCAAGGGCCTCCCTGTGCGGTCAAACAGACAAGGAAAACAGTTGTTAGAATGATATACTAACATACATGATCAATAATCACATTCATGGTTAAGTTTCCTAAGCGGTGCGCAATACAATGTGTTGACGGCAAATGTGGAATGCGCATTCGCAGCCTCGACACCACCCTGTTGTTCTTCCCGACCATCAAGTTCGCACCGTTGGTAGAAACCCCTGAAATCTTCTGAAGGTCAACGCCGATTCCTATGAGATACTGCACGACAACAGAGGTGAGAGAGGCAGTGTCAGCACGATCCAATGTAATCAGTGTTAAAATCTTTGTTATCAATGCGGTCCCTTTGAAGAAAGTTGCGTAGAAACTTAAGTGTCTCCCATGCACATGGTCCGTGCTTTCGTCAAGGGAGATCCCTATCCAAGGGTATTCTAGCAGGTGCTCGCGCTGAGTCTCTTGAGGATACGTTGAGATTGCGTGCAACTTCTTCTTGAATCCGTAACTGCCATGGACAATAGACATGAAACACAGCATTACACACTGCATTACAATAGATCGATGAATCTACTACACTAGCAGAACCACCACCACCCACACACGGTACAGTAGGCGCCGTACCCTCCAGACGGTGGTAGATCTGGCAATCCCTCCTTCGCCGAAAAACCAGCACAGATGAACGAACATGGCGATGAGTGCGTTGCCCTGCAGATGAAGAGCGCGACGTGGAGGCAGCTGTCACCAAATATAATGGTAAGTGCATCATATTGGAGACATGTGCTAATTGGGTGTAGAATTGGTGTAGTGAGAGTTATTCAATCTGCATGTGGGGTAGTTGGGTTATAGAGAGTAGCGAGAAGTTGGTAGCATCGGGGGTTACAGGGCGCTTCGGGGACAATTTCAGGAACCTCGGGAGACAGGCAATCTGGCGAGGGCCACTCCGAGGCCCAGGCGGCTCGAGCTCAACCCAGCACGCTGAGTTACTCGCGACTGAGCAGCCAAGCACAAATAGCCTAGCCTAGCATAGCAAACCTGTTCTCTCGTCTTGTTTGCCTCATATAGTGGATAACGTTACCGCAACAAAAGCTACTCTAGCTAGGTGACTACGCCACTGTGGGCAGCCATCCTGTGGGAGAGTGAACTTCTCACAAGACGAGAGAAGGAGATCGGCAGTATGGACTGCCATGAGCTGCGGTGGCAGCGGACGTACTCGCGTCGGGAGATACTGCCGTCGCGAAGGATGCGCTCAAAGGAGCGGGGAAGATCGCCAGGTCGCTCGCCTAGCAGAGAGGCGGATCGAGCGGATTGGATGGCGACCAGTGACGGATGGCGCAGTGAAGGCGACCTCGGTCTGCAGATGAGATCGGCGCCAAGACCCCAGCCATCGAGGAGCGATCCCTGGGATCTGGCAAGAGGCCAGCGGGGCGCGGGAGTAAGGCGTCAGGAGGATGCAGATGAGACGGACTCGCTGATGTCAGCAAACGAGGCTGACAGCGAGGAGTCCGCGGAGGAGTATCCAAAGGACGCGAGAGCACGTCACTCGCCGGGCAGCATGCCTAAGGCAGGCGAGAGGCGTCACGGAGAAAAACGCGAAGAGCGAGGAAAGGCGACGGGATCAGATCCCTCGACAGACGAAGTGCGTGAGCGTGGCGAGAGGCGACGCGGGGGCGTGGAGGCAGATCGAGCACCAGAGGAGGTGCGCGGGAGTGGCGCGGGGCGCCAGGGGAGTCGCGCGGATGCAGATCGAGCACCAGAGGAGGTGCGCGGGAGTGGCGCGGGGCGCCAGGGGAGTCGCGCGGATGCAGATCGAGCACCAGAGGAGGTGCGCGAGAGTGGCGCGGGACGCCAGGGGAGTCGTGCGGATGCAGATCGAGCACCAGAGGAGGTGCGCGGGAGTGGCGCGGGGCGCCAGGGGAGTCGCGCGGATGCAGATCGAGCACCAAAGGAGGTGCGCGGGAGGGAAGCGAGGCGCAGCAGGAGCAAAGCAGCTGAGCCATTGTCAAAGGAACGAGGGGAGGAGGAGAAGAGCCGTGCAGCGCCAGCAGGGGTGTACCGTTCGCCCGAGCCAGGACAAGGCCGTGCGGGCAGGAGGCGTATGGCGATGGGAGGAAGGAGATCGCCGGAATGGTCGGAAGAGGAGGAGGACGAGGACTACGATGGAAAGCGCGTTCAGCACTCGCCAGCAAGGAGGCGGCGGCCGGGGGGGAAGGCGCGAGGCAGGGGTAGCGAGCGTTCGTCACCCAGGGCCTCAGGGGAACAGGTGGAAGCGCGCCGTGAGAAAGAAGAAAACCTGCGAGCAGAGAGGAGAGCTGCAAAGGATACGAGCGGGGAAACTAGGAGGTGGTCCGAGAGAGAGAGCCGTGAGAGGAGGGGAGAAGGAGAGCGATACCAGCGGGGTGGAGAGACGGGAAGAGAAGAAGAAACGGGAAAATGAGATCAGGAGCGCCGAGGCTGGGAAGAGTGCGGAGATTATGAGGAAAGACAGAGGTGGGACTTACCGGAAAGAGGAAGGGCGTGGAGGCGCAAGGAGGACAGGCAGGGCAAGAGAGAAGGTGTGCGGTCACCAGAAGTCTCGAGGGCAGCAGAGAAGGAGCGACAGCGAGAGGACAGAGTGTGGCGGTACCAGGAGCGGTCCCCTGCAAGGGGAGAGAAGCGCCGGGAAGATGCAGAGAGGTGCAGGGGGGAGCGAGAAGATGCGCGAGGGAGGAGCCCTAGCCCGATGGGCCCGAGGAGGCCGGGGCGTCACGGCGTAGGATCTGCTGGAGCAAGAGCAGCTAGGGAAGGAATAGAGCGAGTGCTGTATGGAACCAGCACAGGCAGCAGGGGAGAAAAGGACAGGAGGAGAGGGGTTATGATGTCTGAGCAAGGGGGGACGGAGAGCTGGGAAACAGGGAAGTGGGGCGCAACAGCACAGCCGCGAGTGGAGGTGCCAGTACACTTTACGGGAAACGAGAAGACCTGCCCAAGTCTGAAGAATTATTTGATGCAAATCAGCAATGTTAAATACCGATGCGACAGAAGTGGGATGGACCCGATCGAGTTTTTCCTGAGCCTGCCAAGCACGTTGGGAGGGGAAGCAGAGTCTTTGTATCGCATGAAGATGGGTGAATGGCTGAGGAGGGCAGAAGAGGATGACGAGGACCCGACGGTACTGTTCCTGGAGCGACTAAGGAAGCAGTTCCCTGGGCATACGGCGGCACGCATCAGGGAATTCCAAGAGTTTAGGCGGAAGGATGAGGAGTCGCTGCTGACATACTACGGACGGTTAGTGAACCTGGCGGAAGACGTGGTGTGCACAGACAGCAGCATGATCATTAGCAAGTTTCTGAATGGTTTAGACAAGGGATTGGCAGGAGGGTTGAGAATGAGAGTTTATGAGCTAGGAGCAGATGCAACGCCAGAGGAGGTATTCGAGTTAGCGGAAAGGGTGGAGCTAGCGCAGAGGAAGTATGAGGTATACCTACCGAGGACGATAGAGAAGAAGAGTCCTACCTGGGCAGCGGCGATGATACCAGGGGAGGGAGCAGGAGAAGAGGGCAGGCCGGAGAGAAGGGCAGAGACACGCACCTGTTACCGCTGTGGGCAGCCGGAGCACATAAGGATTCACTGCAGGAACTGCGATGTATGTGGGAAGCCAGGCCACCGTCAGAGGGACTGCCCGGAGGCACCAACATCTAAGGAGTGCGGAGAAAGGGGGCATGAAGCAAGGGGATGCGATAAAGGGATAGGCATGAAGGGGTCGCCGGAGGAGATCGAGAGCCAGATAAGGAAGTTGCGGGCGCAGTTGCAGGCCCTGGGAGGGAGGAAGGAGAAAGAGGCTGGGTTGTACGCGAGGGAAGAAGGAGCGGAAGAGGAGGGGCAGGAGCCAGAGTACACATTCCTGGCGGTACGTAGCCGTGAGGAACTGGGGCTGCGCAGTGGGGGCAGAGACGGCAGGAAGGGGAGGGCGCTGAGAGGAAGGACAGAGAGGCAGGCGGGGTTGTATGCAAGTGAGGAAGAAGAGGAGGAGAAAAGGGAGCAGGAGCCAGAATATGCCTGCGCGGTGCTGCGTAGCAATGAAGCCATGGGGCTGCGCAGTGGGGGCAGGGACGGAGGAAGGGAGCGAGCCACGAAGGTGAGGGCATGGGCAGTGGCAGAAGGGGAAGCGAAGAACGAGAAAGAGGAGGCGAAAGTACGTGAATTAGCAGCAGCAGAAGGGGAAGAGAAGGACGAGAAGGTAAGGGCATGGGCAGTGGTAGAAGGGGAAGAGAAGGACGAGGAGGAGGAGGCGGGAGTGCGCGAATTAGTAGCAGCAGACACTGAAGGGAAGGATGAGAAGGTGAGGAAATGGGCAGCAACAGAAGGGGAAGGGGAGAATGAGAGAGTGGGGACCTGGGCGTGCGTACCAGCAGCAGCGGAAGCAGAGGAAAAGGACGAGCGTGTGGGGGCAGGAGTGGGTGTACTAGCAGCAGTAGAAGGAGAGGAGAGGGACGAAGAGGCGGGGGCAAGAGCGTGTGGACCAGCGGCAGCAGAAGCGGAAGGGAAGGGCGAGAAGGAGGGAGCGGTGAAGAAAGGAGGGAAGAAGGGGCTGAGCCGTACAGACATGGAAGGGAATGATTGGCAGCCATCGCTGAAGACATCGGAGTTGTTCGGGGAAATCAGGGCAGGGGCGGAGACTGGTGTGACGATGAAGGATTGGAGGCAAGCAGAGGAGCAAGCGCAGGGAAACAAGCTGGCGGAGCAGCATGTGAGGAAGCTGCGGGGAGGAAGGCCAGAGCTGATGGGGGAAGCAGAGCGGGAGAGTAAGGAAGTGGGGGCATGGGAGCCCCTAGCAACAGGGGAAGAGGTAGACCATACAATGGAAGAGGCGGAGAACAGGGCGGCATGGGAGCGAGCTAAGGCAGCGGAACACTTGCAGGAGGTGATAACGGTGGCGGTGGAGGACCTACATACCGTGCAGTTGAGGGATGCGGGCTACTGTGAGCAGTGGCAGCAGCAGGAAAGCAAGGGGATAAAGGCGGCTACAGAGGTGGGACAGGAAGAGAGGGGCAAAGAAGAATACACTAGAGGTGGAATAGGGAAGAGTGAAGAGGAGGGCGCAAGCAGTGCAAGGCAGGGGAGTGCTAGTGCTGGAGAAGCAGAAGGGAGAACAGACCGGGGACCACCAGACCCGTACGGCAGGACTGAAGAGCAGCCGTCCTCAGCTGAGAGTCCTGTGACTCGCGCCCGAGCAGCTCGAGCACGAGCACAGGAGGGGGCAGGTAGTGGCTGAGAACGCAGAAGGGAACAGGGTAACAGGAGTGGGGACAGCACAAGGCGGGGCGAAGGCCAGAATAAGAAGGGAATAGGGTGAGGACAGAATGCAGGATAGAGGCAGGGGCAAGAGAGGAGTGAGGAAGGAGAAGGGAGTAACTCCGACAGCTGTCACCAAATATAATGGTAAGTGCATCATATTGGAGACATGTGCTAATTGGGTGTAGAATTGGTATAGTGAGAGTTATTCAATCTGCATGTGGGGTAGTTGGGTTATAGAGAGTAGCGAGAAGTTGGTAGCATTGGGGGTTACAGGGCGCTTCGGGGACAATTTCAGGAACCTCGGGAGACAGGCAATCTGGCGAGGGCCACTCCGAGGCCCAGGCGGCTCGAGCTCAACCCAGCACGCTGAGTTACTCGCGACTGGGCAGCCAAGCACAAATAGCCTAGCCTAGCATAGCAAACCTGTTCTCTCGTCTTGTTTGCCTCATATAGTGGATAACGTTACCGCAACAAAAGCTACTCTAGCTAGGTGACTACGCCACTGTGGGCAGCCATCCTGTGGGAGAGTGAACTTCTCATGAGAACGCAGAAGGGAACAGGGTAACAGGAGTGGGGACAGCACAAGGCGGGGCGAAGGCCAGAATAAGAAGGGAATAGGGTGAGGACAGAATGCAGGATAGAGGCAGGGGCAAGAGAGGAGTGAGGAAGGAGAAGGGAGTAACTCCGACACAGCATATGATGTGCCTAGTAAACACATCTGTGGTCTGCCACCATGTGAGAGTGGCTTGCTTTGATTTCTCCGCCTCTGCTTTAGCCTCGCTTTTGAGTGCGTACTTGTAGGCTCGACTTTCTGTGTGACTGCGGATGCTGCCTATCTGCAAATCTCAAGCACCCTCACCTCTCACACCGTAAGCAGTGTGCCCTGCCGGATCTCCGTGCTTGATGCAAATAGCACATTTCAATGATGGTCTACCATTACTCATGCGAATTAAGCGCAGCCAGCTGAATTTACCTGCCCACTGCAAATCGAAAGTGGCTTTTACCGCTTCATACTCAGCTTCTGCAGACGCGGTTGGAGGCTTCGGGTTGGCAAGAGCAGCAAGCCGTGGTGGTAATGCTGCTTGTCGTGGAGGAGGGGCGCCCCAGAGCCTCTGCTGCTTCTATGTCATGCCCACACGCTGTCGCTTAACGAGCGTGCTGCTAAGAGTGGACGGGGTGCAATTGGTGGCTTCGACGGGCCTTCGCCACCATCGGGAACGATCTTCAGAGAAGGGTGTGGCTCCCACACCTTCGGTGAGTTAGTAGGCTCAAACGGATAGACGGTTCCGACAACACATTCTGGAGATGCCTTGCGCTGTGGCTACAAGATGGGAACATTATAGTTCTCACGCAAGCGTGGTAACACTCCAAGAACAGAGAGTCCATTTCTGGTGCTACTAGGCAGATCTAGCTCTGACGCAGGGATGTCTGAGCAACGTGCATTAAAAAAGTGAGAGAATGGGGAGAAAGAAAAGGGCCTTTTGGGAAACACAAACCCCAAGAAGCCTCCTGCAAAAAGGTTCCTGCGCACCACGAGAACGGCATGGCACTTGCTGCAACACAACATCGACTGCCTTGTGATGCAAAGGACAGCACGAAACACACTTGGCGCGCAAATTGGCACCGTTGGCAGTGACCGTGGCTACGTGTGGCCCTAAACACGGGTGTGTTGGTGCAACAGTGGCTTTAAGGACCAATCGGGCAAGCAAGCGTGCAGTCGCACTGATTCTACGGTGATGAGCTGTGGTCGAAAAAGACAAATGTGGCAGTGGGATCGTGGTGAAACTGTCTGCACGCGAACTGTGTCGGAATCTGCGGTAAAGAAAGTTTTAGTACCAGTGTAGTTGGCATCGTACCCTGTATCAGTGTAGTTTAGAGCTTAGCTTGTTTTCACAAATGTGGAAATTTTGATAGCATTATTTGACAAGGGTAACTGGGGAAAAGTGGCCTACCATAAGGAAATTTTACCGTGATAATATGGTCCCTATTTCCGTGTGTATATTATAGCCCTGGGTCTTAAATAGGCTGTATGTTTATAACATTCACATTGTATTGTTTGTAGATACTAGTACTAAATAAGCAGCAATCAAGTATAGGCACTTTAGTGTAGCAATTTCCCATTCCAAACCTGTACAAAAGTGTACCGGATGGAAGAGGAGG